AGGCGCTGCAGGGAACAGGATGCGTTGACGCAGCCACGACGTGCATGGAGTGTCACGATGGCACAGTCAGCTGTGGCTGGTGGAATGTTTACTTCTTGGAGGCAACAGAGAGAGAGAGAGAGAGAGCTGCTCCTGCTGCTGGCGTTGTTGCTGCCTTTTTTGGCCTCCCATGCCGATTATTTTCTGTCCGCTGATCATGGGTGGTGTGCCTCCACTAGTGACGTCGTCTGCGGGCATTTCACAGCACCAGTGAAACACACATCACGTCGCATGCTTTGGCTGTGGATATGGTGTCGTGAGTGCAGCCGGCATTATTTTGCCCGACTCCTTTTCACTGCTTTGCGACAAATAGATGCGTCCCCGCCCGAGTCATTTACTGCAGCTCCGTGTGTTGTACTGCCAGCACAATACTCTCCTGTTGTCTGACGCCTGGCTGACAGTCAAACACCACTGCGTTGGGACATGCAAGGACGTGGACTGCCGCTCACGGTGTTGGGCACCGCTGTTTGGATGCGGCGGCCACACGAGCGGATGTATTGTGGCACAATCAAATGCGTGAAATACGCTGAACCACAGCGGCTGCAATAATATCAGCGGTGTGGCACCACGGAATATGTGAAAGAGGGTGATGCATGATGAATCACAGTGGGCGGCATGCGAGGGAAGTGCACCGCGACGGAGCGTCACCCCGCCCTCAGCCTGCAGGGGAATGTGCACCCATAAGAATATATGGACGAGGCACCACCAAACACACATGCCGTTCCATGCACCAATAAATAGGAGCGAAGGTGCGCTCTGGTGTGTGGGAGTCCATCCACATATTTTCATTTCCACCGCAATAAACGGTGAGGAATCAGGTGTCACAGCGACGGAAGGGATAAAACCATCTATTGCAACAATTTGACGGCGAGAAGCAGGAAGAACACAAACCGAATTGTTGGCTGCACTTCCCGTGGAACAACAATCCACGTGGTGTGCGGGGATCATTCCCTTTTTTACTGTTATTTTGCCTTTGTGTTGCTGTGTGCGCTGCACCTCCTCTTGTGTGTGTGCGTACCCTCCGTGAGGGGTGCCGACACGACGGACCGCTCTCGCCGTATGCACATGCGGTGGAGCCTTGTGTGCCGCTCCTGTTTGCTTCTCCCTCCTCCATCTGTGTGTTGGTGTTGCGGCAGGGCTGTGTGTGTGTGTGCCTGCTGCCGTGGATTGGAGTGTGTGTCGTGCGTGGTGTGCGGCGTACGGTGCATGCCTGGCTGCTGCCCTCTCCTCATGTGGTGTGCCCTCTGTGTGTGTCTGCCGCACCTCTCGACTCCCCTGTTGCTCTCCATGTCCGTCACTGCGCAGATCAGCTCCACACCACTGAACGACCACACTCACGATGATGACGTGCCGTCTGCTGTGCTCCCTGTTGGTGCTCGCCCTGTGCTGCTGCCCGTCCGTGTGCGTGACAGAGGGTAGCGATAAAATAACTCAATCCGTTCAGAATTCCGATCCACAATCGGGAATAAGTGGGACGGACGGTGGGCAGAAGGATAAAAACGAGGCCCCAGGCCCAGGGGTCGTTACACCAACGGTTCAAGAGAATAACAATGTAGAAGAAAAAACAGTTCCGAAAGCCAATGAGAATGCCAACAGTCAAGATGCATCAGTTGCGTCTGTTCAGTCAGCGAAAACAAGTGCTGCGGGTAAATCCGCAACGATTTCAAAAGTTGGTGCCACAGTGCAAAAAACGACGACTACGACAAAAGCACCAACGACAAGTACCACTACCACAACAACAACCACAGAGGCACCAATCATTACATCTACGGAAGCACCAACTACGACGACCACCCGCGCACCGTCACATCTTCGCGAAATTGACGGCAGCCTCAGCAGCTCTGCGTGGGTGTGTGCCCCGCTGCTGCTCGCCGTATCCGCGCTGGCGTACACCACTCTGGGCTGAAGATGTGTATGCGGGCTATGCGTGCCAGCACTCAACGGCGGGGACATGTGGACGTCTACTGTGGTCCGATGTATAAAGTAAGAGTAATTATGATGATTGTGTTTTTGCTTTCTTTGCTTCCGCTGCCCTGCTGTGTGCTCCGCGTTGTGCCCCACATCCGTCGCATTGAACGCATTCCAGACACACTCCTATGCATGCGCAGCGGAGCATTGGGCTCGTTTCTTTAAATATCTCTTTTTTCATTTTTAAGTGTTTTGCGAGTTTTGGATTTTTAATGGCTCCATTTGTCCAATGGCTTGTGCGCAGCGTTAATGCCGTTCATTACTGTGCGTGACTCTCATTGCTGGATGGGACGATGCGTGGTTGCGTGACTTGTCTCTCCTTTTGCTTTCATTCTGCGTTGACGGGGAGTTAGTTTGTGCTGAAGGCTACACGCAAGTGACAGGAGTGATGGCGATGATGATGACTGGCCGTGTGCTGCTGGTGTGTGCCCTCTGCGTGCTGTGGTGCGGTGCCGGCGGTGTTTATGCGAGGGACGTTGACACCAACGCACTGGGCGGCTGCATGGCGTCGGGAGTGTTGGGTGAGAATGGATCCCACATGCCTGACGGATGTAATAAAACTGCGATTACGATGCCTTTGCGGTCAGTACTGCCCATTACTGCCGTTGAAGCTTCGGCTGGAACAGATAATACTGCCGTTGTAATACCGAACGATTCGCATTCAAGTGGGACTTCCAACGCTGGTGCTTCTGGTGGTTCTGCTGGTCCAGGGGCTCCTGATGTTGGTGGTGGTGGTGATTCTGGTGGTGAAGGCAGTTCTGGTCCAGGGGCTTCTCCTCCCGTTCCTGCTGCTCCCGCTCCTGGTCCTTCTGGTGGTGCTTCTTCTGGTGATTCTGGTGATGGTGGAAATTCTGGCGGTGGAGGCGGTGGTGCTGCCGGGGCTTCTGGTGGTGGAGGCGGTGGAGGAAGCGGTTCTGGTGGTGGTGGCAGTGGAAGTTCTACTGATGATCATGCCACCGGCAGCGTTCCTTCTAGTTCTTCTCTTGCTTCTCCTGCTGCTCCTGCTGCTCCTGGTGATGGTTCTGCTGGTGGTCATGACACCGGTGGTGTTTCTTCTGGTTCATCTGTTCCCGCTCATCCTCCTTCTCCTGGTCCTTTTGGTGCTCCTTCTCCTGGTGTTGATTCTTCAGCTGGAAGCAGTGGTGGTAAAGCGGGGTCCTCAGGCAGTCATCCAACTAACACAACAGGGGACTCTTCAACAGGAGATCAGACGCCTGCTGCAGCAGCGGCTAACAACTCCTCGCCACCCGAAATACCGGCAGGGACGACATCCGGCACTGGACACACACGACAAGAAGAAGAAGAAGAGGAAGAGGAAGAAGATCATGAAAAGCAGCACCAAAGTGATGAAACACAAGTCCAACAACATCAACAGCATGAACACCCCGCGGAAAGTGGCGAAGAATCCGCGAAGGATAAAAACGCCCTTCGTACAAATGCCACCGCCAATACAGGCGACAGTGACAGCAGCACCGCGGTCTCCCACGCCACCTCCCCACTTTTTCCTCTTCTTCTTGTTGTTGTGTGTGCGGCTACTACTGCGGTGTTGGCCGCGTGAGAGTGAGGGAGAGAGAGCCGTGCACCGCCCGCACACACACTCGTTCTTCTTTCTCTTTGTGTGTGTGTCCCCTTGCATGGACTCCCGCCCTCACCTCACCCCACGAAGCACACACATAATGTGCCCATTGTATATATGCATGCACACCCATGCAGGCCCGTTGGTGCTCTCTTTTGCACCACACGCACCGCTGCCGTCCTGCCTGGCTGCATGGGCGGAGCACCGTAACTGTTTCTGTTTTTTGTTTTGTTTCCATTGCATTGAGTGGGCGACCTCTCTCTCTCTCTCCCTGTTGGGCTTTACGGGAGCAATGAGTGTGTGTGTGCTGGTCGTCCCACGCTTCGTTTTTTCTTTTTTGTTTCTGTTGATTTTTTGTTTCTGTTCTGGTTGAG